ACGGTTTGTACTTGTAGTATTGTATTACAAAAAAAAATCACAAACTAAAAACACATTATACAAAATAAAAAAAAAAATCTTTATTTCATCTAGAAACCACTTTGCGCACTACAAACCTGTAACTCCTGAAGCTCTTGTTCCTCCTTCTGCCACTTCAATTTCTGCTTTATGAATGGCTTGAGAGACATACACCTTGCTATCCTCTGAAATAAAATGTTTGAGGAACATTTAATTTTTATCACATGGACACCGGTTTTGCCAAAGCTTCAAGCCAGTCCAAAAAAAATTGGACAGCCAATAAAATAAAAGCATGTTAAGGTTATCTACAAATTTATGAAACAAATTTAAGTTAAGCAATACAGTTTTTTATGAAAATGAATAATGACCAAAGGAAGAGGGTTGCAGATGCGAGCAGGAGACTCAGATTTAGCCAAAAGGCAACCTGTTTTATGCTTTGTAATATGATTACAGCCCAGGACTGTTTAAAAATGGAGTCATCCAGGGCTCTGCTTACAATTCATACTGACAATGGCAGTCCTGAATGATAACACAGAAAAAATGGCAGTTGACTCGTGCAAAGCCGCCTAGAAAGTGGTTAATTGAAATCCTATGCGGAGTAATATCACTACAAAAGTGGATGCGATAATGTATTTATACGATCACATAGATCGTGAAAAAGGGTTGACATTGACAGGGTGAACATATTGCAATCATATTAAAATCAAAGAATTAAAATAAAGAACGAAGTCTGCGATGATTGGCGGACGAAACGCGTCACCATAATGACATCACCACGCTCGGCATCTTCATAGGCTGCGGTATCCATGAGGGGAAAGAAGCAAGCACTGCGGCTCCATCTTGGATAAGCATGAGGCAACATAGAATATAGCCAAACACCCTGAGGAGACTTTTTAGCGATTTAAGTGACACAGTTCACTTCCACTTTGGTGGCAAGTGATAGTGTACAGTATTTAGCTGAGTCACTTTAGACCGCAATTTTTATAAACGGGAGTCATATCCCATGTAATAACAGATTTGCTAAGCCCTAATTTGAGGGGAATTTTTGGACTTTATAGGTATATACTATATACTGTGTGCTATATAGTCAGTGATATGGGACATCAGTCTTATATTTCTATAGGAATTACACCAACTCTGTTTTATATCAGATTTAACTAAGCCCTAATTTGTGGGGAATTTTTGGACTCTACAGATATATATTATATACTGTGTGCTATACAATCAGTGATATGAGACAACAGTCTCACGCATTTCTATAGGAACTATATCAACTCTGTCATAAGAGCAATTTTTGGAACCCCTAGAGGGGCATTTTGACAAGGAGTCACCGAGGCCTGTATGTCCTTTTTGAAACATCGCTGGTTATTACCCTGGACTCTCACCTCCCTATTCATGCACATAGGGTTTTTTTTCATACCTTCAGCGAGAAGGAATTTTTTCTGATCTTCCTTATGGTAATTCACTTTAATTTCATTAATGACACTCTAGCATCACCTATATTTATTATTTATCTTTTAATATTTATTCACCTTTAGAGTCACTTGTTACTGTGGATTCACTTCCATTTGTGGTGGTTATCCATGAAGGTGTATACCTATTATGCTTGTATTATGACACAGCCACTAAGAAGGTAAAGAGAGATACATCTCATCAACCTGATTATGAGTAGTTCATGCAGCTGGTGTCATAGTGATTATCCCGCTTCTTTTTAATTCATCAATATCCATTTAATTCCTAGGAGTCCATCCATCTTGATTGTACTGTTCATGAAGGAACAGTTTAAGAATAAAAAGAATTTACCAGGTCTTACAATATGGAACTTTACTGCAGATGAATACAGAAAGGAAATTCTATTGCCTCATATGGATCACATTTGCTTATACAGCCGTTTTTGAAGACGCCGAATGGTTCTTTAATTTAATTCTTTGATTACAATATGATTGCAATATGTTCAACCTGTCAATGTCAACCTTTTTCACGATCTATTTGATCGAATAAATACAATATTGCATCCACTTTTGTAGTGATATTACTCTGCATAGAATTTCAGTTAACCACTTTCTAGGCAGCTTTGCACTAGTCAACTGCCATTTTTTCTGTGTTCCAGTATACTCAGGTTTATAATCCACACTTTCATTTGAAGTGAGTCCGAGATATTATTTAGATATGGTTTTCGTATCATATAGGATGATACTTTTCCTTTTTTTTCCCTGAATGAGGACACCCTGCTGTACAAACTCTATCATATCGGAAAGTCCTATCAGCCAGGTTCACACTGAATGCAACTTTGAAATCGTGCTACTTCACTTGAAGTAGTGTGATTTCAAAGTTGTAGATCAGTGCAATTTGTACCTCCAATTTCACTGCGGCTTGCGACTTCATTTAACAGAAGTCAATGAAGGTCGCAATGAAATCGAGCAAGTGCAGGAACTATTTTTGAAATTGCGCTACTTCAAATCACACTGATTAAGACATTGCCATAGAAATACATTAGATGCCACTTCAGATGCGATTCTTAAATCGCATATCACACATGAAGTTGCATAAGTGTAAACCAGGGATAAGAGAAAGCATATGCCCTGCTTTATATTCACATTTTTCATCTTCAATGTATAGCCTAAAATACAGGAGTATACGGACATGGCTTCATGTTTTGTGTGTTTTGGTAAATTTAGTCATGAATGTCCAGAGGTGACAAAAAAGGCAAGGAATTATCACAGTTTGTAAATTTTGAGGATTTAAGATCAGATTGCCAGCAGGAGAAGTGAAGGCCTCAGTGAGTAAATTCCAGCCTATTCTTGTAATCAAGTGAACAAGTGGCTGTCCCTAGGCTAGTGGATAGTTAAAGTAAAATTCTATATTTAATTTGAATTTAAATAGTTTGTCCAAGCCAAACTGGCTTAAAGAAAAACAATTTCCATTACATAATTATGGAGATGCTGTGCCTGCTGTAATATACTGTAGTGCAGTGGTCTTCAAACTGCTTGCCTTTATTTGGCCTTTAGGCTTTGTTCCTGCCACTTACACCAACAAGGGGGCATAATTCCTTCCACTGACACTAACAATGGGGTGCTATCCCTTCCACTGCCACCAATGATGGGGCATAATTCCTTCCACTGATACTAACGATGGGGCAGTATTCCTCCAACTGACACCAATGATGGGGCATAATTCCTTCCACTGACACCAATGATGGGGCATAATTCCTCCTACTGACACTGATGATTTCTCAACCTAATACTAAAGATGGGGCATTGTTTTCTCCTACTTGGAACAGTTTGGCCCCCTAATGTCTGAAGGACAGTAAACTGGCATTTTGTTTAGAAAGTTTGGAGACCTCTGCTGTAGCAGCATTACCTACTGTGTTCTGTAAGCAGAATAGACAACTTCCCATTTGCTGCTGGAATTAAAAGGAGTTGGGCTAAATCTTCTCAACCATTCAGGAAAAGCCTTGTACCATTATCAAATGCTTCCTCCAATTGGCAGAGTGGGAAAAGCGGGCGCATGAAGTCATGATTTCCACCTAGGCCAATCACAAGAAGTCTTGTATGCACGGAGAAGAAATAAAGACTTCTGAAAGGTGCAGCATTCAGCCTGACTCTATTTAATTCTAGTAGCAGACTGGAAGCTGCACGCACTGTTGCCGGAACACAGAGCCACTTACTGTTAGTAGCAAATGTGGCTACAGTAAATTACAGCACACACAACAGTTGCATATTTATGTAATGGAAACAGTTTATTAGGGCCAGCTTGGTAGAGTCAAATTAAACCTGGAATTATACTTATGTTTTTTTTTGTTTTTTTTTTTATAACACTCGTATTACTTCCTCCAGGCTGTCTGTTAACTCTCATAGACAGCCCTAAAGCTGGCCATAGCGGGATCAAAATTCAGCTGGTTCAGGAGGGATCGAATGAATTTCAATCAGTATGTGGCCATTCTTTCTTTACAGAAATTGATTGCGTGATCAACTTCTGTCGAAAAGACCTTCTAGAAAACATTTGTTGATCAGTGGCTGCAGACAATCAACTGCAGCTGATGGTCACTGTATTCTAACAGTGTTGAGTTCTCACTTCCAGAATACAATGCCTCAGCAGGGGGGGATTCTTCCATCCACCTTGTGTGGATGGAGGAATATGTTTGTGAAAAAACAGGTTTGCGCTCATATTAACAACCCAATTATAAATATATCCACAATATATAATCATATTAATAATAAAAAATAATTAATAGTGTCCAAATAAATTGTGAAAAAAATATATGTATATACCCTTGTTTCTATCCATTTAAATGCATGTGCCTCCACTGTGAGGACTCTTTAGACTTGTAGAGTTAGGACCACAGATACTCAGGGTGCCGTGACGCGGCTCTGTGGCTTACGTATGTATTTGCAAATGTGTGCTAACTAAACCCCTGTTTTTAAACGCATGTTTCCAGACAGGTTAATTTGGTTTTTGATAGTTGGCTAACTGGCTGACAGTTTGAACTGGCTTTTCTTATCCCCCTTTGTTGATAAGATATACATATCTTTGTTCCTTGCCAACAAAAGCCGATATTAGATTGGGGTAGGCTGGCAAGTTGAACTGGATAGTTCTACTTTTTTGGAAATTTCTCACGTAGTGACAGCCCCCCATGTTCACTGTTTAAAAAGCCAGTTATAGACCTGGGCAGGTGATCAGTTTTTTCTTTGCTGTGAGAGCACCTGACAGGAGGGAGGGGCTAGGAGAGCCTGCAGGAGACCCGAGAAGAGGAGGATCTGGGCTGCTCTGTGTAAAACCACTGCATACAGCGGGTAAGTATAGACATATTTGTTATTTTTAGGAAAAAATGTAGGCCTTTAGTATTGCTTTAATGTTTATTGTGTTATTGCCATGCTGTGGTCTTCTGCAAGTCCTATTTTGTGTTCATGTTATTGTTATGTTCCTCTAAAGTGTTAAATATTATGTTATTGTATATTCTACACAATATATTTATATATGTACTAATGAAAAATTAAAAACATACCTGATATCCCTTTAAAATCAGCTTTTCTTGGATCAAAAAGATCCAAGACCCCCAGGGCTGGTAATAACACCTTTAAGTCACTGTGGCTTTCCAATTTGAATCTGTAAAGTACAAAGCAGACAAGTAAGAGTAAGGTACTGTGTCAGTGCATGGACATGGCATTGATAATGCAAACTATATAAGTTACCGTTTAATTGAGAAATAATAGGGAAACAAGAACAGATTCCAGTATTAATATGTGATATATCAATAGAATAACATAACATTCTGTTCAACCCGAAACATTTTTTAAAATTGAGAGCATTACTCCATATGCGATTTATGGTGTATAACCTTGTTGGCAAAAAGTCTTATAATTAGGTTTCAGATTTTAGGAATGGCATTAGAAAGCTGCATCAGATTTGGGGTTGGAAATGAAAGATCATTAACCTAGATATGGGGCATATACACACTTTGTGCAGTAAACGTGTTCTCTCTAAAAAAAAAAAAGAAACAAAATATTTACCTCTCCGTCTGCCAGCGACTGTGTCCTCTAGTGACATTGGGTTTTGTGGGCAGAACCACTGAAGCTGTGGCAGAGCAGGAGATTGACAATCTTGCAAGTGCTAGTTTCAGCTGGAGATTTTTGGTTTACAAAGCAGTGTTTGAGCAGCATAGGCATTATTTATTTATTTTACTTATTTCAGGTACTTATATAGTGCTGTCAATTTGTGCAGCGCTTTACATATATATATTGTACATTCACATCAGTCCCTAACACTCAAGGGGTGTACAATCTAAGGTCCCCAAGTCACATTCATACATACACATACTAGGGCCAATTTAGACAAGATCCAATTCACCTACCAGCATGTCTTTGGAGGGTGGGAGGAAGCTGGAGTGCCTGGAGGAAACCCACGAAGGTACAGGGAGAACATGCAAACTTCAGGCAGGTGGTGCCGTGGCTGGGATTCGAACCAATGACCCTAGTACTGCCAGGTGGAAGTGCTAACCATTTAGCCACTGTGCTGCCCCACATTATTTCCTTTATTTTTTTTTTTTTACAGGGAAATCCTTTACTGGCAATTTGAGTTTGACAACCAAATAGATTTAAAAGTTAAGTTCACCCAAAACAGATATTTTTGGTATTGGTAAATGAAGATTGGTTTGATATCCCTTCACCTATATCTCTCTGGGACTCCAGTTGTGAGGTCTCCCTCCGAGAGATCTGTGTTGCATTGCATTCTGAAGCCAACCAAGACAATCAATTTCCTCTAGCTGCATAATCGACAATACAAATAGGGACATTAATGATGAAATCCCATCAGATTAATTTGGGTAAACTTACTGACAGAGAGCCTTAGAGATATATCTGACAGAGTGCCTGAGAGCATCCACTCATAAGTGATCTATCAGATTTCAATAAACTTACTCTTTGAAAACCCTCTTTCATATATTCATTTCATATATACCTGGGCATGAAGATGTCCATTTTGAATTTCTTCATGGAGCTGGTCCACAGTGCTATGCTCTTTGATGTCAAGCTTGCTTCAATAGAAGATAAATGTGTGTTCTTGTCTGTGGGCCTTACCACAAACATACTGACTGTATTCCCTAGGTAAGGCAGCTCCACTATCGTAAACTTCTCAAAAGAAGCAGTTTCAAACTGGCCTGGAGAAGAATATACAAAATGCATTAGTAGCAAAACTATACAGCGGTGGTGCTCCACTCATGACCCTCCAGTGCTCCCTCATTGGTAGTCCTGAACTTGATAAACATATACTGTATTTTGCTAATAATATCAATGTCTCCCTTCTACCCATTTCTGGAAAGTGAGGAGGAAAATGGTCTCAGATCTTGCAACAACACAGGACCTCACATAACAGGAATCACGGTATCTTTCACATTGTTCATGCTGTCTGTTTGTTCACAATCATTTACAAGCTGATTAAATGTAGCACTGAAAAGATTGGTGATGTAATCACAGCAACCCGTCACATTCACACTTACTGTAGTTAAATACAGTATATGATTTTATATTGGTTGACTTGTCATGGGTTACTGCATTTTTCACAGTAGCATTGATATTTGCAGTGCTGTAAGACAGGTATACTAGAGTTAATAATGCCCCATGTTCTGATGGTTTTAAAGCCTTATATGGGAATAGCTCACCTTGCATCTTGCCCTGGTGACACCAGGACAAAATATTAAGGGTTAAGAGTGTCACCACAACAGGAAGACACAGAGAGTAATACAAATTAAATAGATGTTCTATCCCAGTGGTTAGCAACTTTTTCGGTAAATTTGACAGGAATTAGCCAACTGGTTTTGCAGTAAACAATAGTCTGTCATAGTTATAATGTTTGTTTTCAACTTTTTATACTTATAATTTACTGGTAATGGCAAATAAAACTCAATAATAATAGTAATAATTATGTTAACTGGTGCACCCACAAAACATGTTCATATTTACCATTAATGTATACTAGCCCAAGTGCATGCTCTTTCAGAACTCATATCAGCCATAATTCATACACCTCCAGACCACAGATCAACCCTAGTTCATGCATCTTTAGACCTAAGATCAGTACCAATTCATGCACCTTGAGACTTCAGCCAAGTGCCATTTCAATCACTTTCAGACCCAAGTTCAGCCCCAATCCATTCACCTTCAGACCTCATATCAGCCCCATCTTATGCACCTTCAGACCTCAGATCAAATCAGCCCTAAAATCTGCATCTTCAGACCTCAGATCAACCTCAATTCATACACCTTCATACCTCAGCTCAGCCCCACTGCATACATCTTTAGATTTCAGATCAGCCCCAATTCAAGCATCTTCAGATCTCAAATCAGATCAGCCCCAATTCATGCATTTTCAGGTGTCAGATCAACCTCAATTCATAAATAGAAAAAAAAATAATTTCCAATCAATCCACAGGTGAGACGGGAAAATGGGGATTTTTTTTATGTGCCAACAAAAATGACATGCAGTACATAAGATAAAATACAACTTTTATTTTAACATTAAAATCAACAAAAAATAAAAACCATATCCATCACCATTAATTCATCAATTGTGTACTAATCATACTGCAAAGACATAGTGGATCAATGTGTTTCGCTTGTTTTGCTGGTTCTTCAGGATCCACTTGCTTGTAGTGTCTTAAAATATGGCAAATGAATGCTCAACTTAAAAGTCCTACAACTATTAGTAGTGCAGCACAACACGATGACACACAACGGAAGATGTACCCAAACAGAGGATCCTCAATGATGCTCTCCAACATAAACAAACACATAAAAGAGTTGTGGATACCCTTTTAAAATCAGTAAATATTGCCAGACAGGACACTGATCTGCCATGGTTTTTTTCATAGTTACATAGTTAGTCCGGCTGAAAAAAGACAAAAGAACATCCAGTTCAACCATAAAAAAAAAAAAAAAAAAAAAAAGTTATAATCCTATAGCCACAGTTGACCCAGAGGAAGGCAAAAAAAACCCCCAGCAAAGCATGATCCAATTTACACCTGCTGGGAAAAAAAATTCCTTCCTGATCCCCTGTGAGGCAATCAGATATTCCCTGGATCAACTTTACCTATAAATGTTAGTATCCAGTTATATTCTGTGTATCTAAGAAAGAATCCAGGCCTTTTTTAAAGCAATCCACTAAGCTGGCCAGAACCAACTCTTGAGGGAGTCTATTCCACATTTTCACAGCTCTTACTGTGAAGAAACCTTTCCGTGTTTGGAGATTAAATTACTTTTCCTCCAGACATAAAGAGTGCCCCCTTGTCCTCTGTGATGACCTCAGGGTGAATAACTCTACACCGAGTTCACTATATGAACCACTGATGTATTTATACATGTTGATCATATCCCCCCTTAATCTCCTCTTCTCAAGAGAGAATACATTCAGTTCCTCTAATCTTTCCTCATAGCTGAGCTCTCCTCCATGCCTCTTATCAGTTTGGTTGCCCTTCTCTGTACTTTCTCCAGTTCCCCAATGTTCTTTTTGTGAATTGGTGCCCAAAACTGAACTGTATATTCCAGATGAGGTGTTACTAATGATTTGTAGCGGGGTAATATGATATCTCTCTCTGGAGTCTATACCTCTTTTAATACAAGAGAGGATTTTGCTCGCTTTAGAAACTGCAGCTTGGCATTGCATGCCATTATTAAGCTTGTGATCTTCCAGAACTCCCAGATCCTTCTCCACCATTGATTCCCCCAGTTGTACCTCCCTAGTATGTATGATGCATGCATATTCTTAGCCCCCAAGTGCATAACCTTACATTTATCAACATTAAACCTCATTTGCCATATAGTTGCCCAATTAAACAGAGCATTGAGGTCGGCTTGTAGGTTGAAGACATCCTGTAAGGACGTTATTCCACTGCACAGCTTGGTGTCACCTGCAAAGACTGAAATGGGATTTTTAATCCCAGACCCTATATTGTGTATAAATATATTAAAAAGTAAGGGTCCCAACACTGAACCTTGGGGTACACCACTGATGACTGTAGACCACTGAGAGTATGAATCATTAACCACTACTCTTTGAATACGATCTTTTAGCCAGTTTTCTATCCATTTACATACAGATTTTTCCAAGCCCGTAGACTTTACCTTACACCAGGGGTCCTCAAGCTTTTTAAACTGGGGGCCAGTTCACTATCCCTCAGAGGGCTGGACTATAGTTTAAAAAAAAAACTATGAAGAAATGTGGACACAGTACAGGAGTACCAGAGACTGCGGACATAGTACATGAGATGACCAGAGACTGCGGACATAGTACATGAGATGACCAGAGACTGCGGACATAGTACATGAGATGACCAGAGACTGCGGACATACAATGGCGGTGGGAATACTGGGCCAGCCGCTCCATAAGACGCACAGACATTTCCCCCCAAGTGTGTCTTATGGAGCGAAATATACGGTAAATGCAGGACACCTTGTTGGGTCAGATCTATGTACAATGTAAAGAGAGAGAGAGGAGAGAGAGAGGAGGGGGGGGGAGAGAGAGGAGGAGGGGAGGAGAGGGAGAGAGAGAGGGGGGGAGAGAGAGAGGGGGGGGAGAGAGAGAGGAGGGGGGGAGAGAGAGAGAGGGGGGAGAGAGAGAGGAAGGGGGAGAGAGAGAGAGGAGGGGGGGAAAGAGAGGAGGGGGGAGAGGGGGGAGAGAGAGAGGGGGGAGAAAGAGAGGAGGGGGAGAGAGAGGGGAGAGAGAGGAAGGGGGAGAGAGAGGAGAGGGGAGAGAGAGGAAGGGGGAGAGAGAGAGAGGAGGGGGGAGAGGAGGAAGAGAGGAGAGAGAGAGAAAGAGGAAGGGGGGAGAGAGAGGAGGGGGGAGGGAGAGAGGGAGGAGATCGATCATTTATTGCACTTTTCTAGGGTCTGTGGCCGTGATACCCGACATGCAGCGATGGAGTCTCCTCTCTTGCTCCCCCTCTTCGTGGTCAGCTCTAGGCTCCGCCCTCCGGCCGTGACGGTTGCATGCACTGATCAGAATAGATGGCCGGCTGGCTGCAGAGAGGCCAGGTGATTGGTGCGGGTTCATAAGCCGAGCCCACTTTCCCTGTTCTAGAATTGCTGATCCCGCCCTCCTGCCTCCCGCCCGAGCCCTGCCGAGCTCTCCCGACCTGCCAAATCCTAGTCCCTTGCCTCGCGGCAGATACGCCCCTGCCCGGCGGGCCAGATAAATGTCCTCGGCGGGCCGCATGTGGCCCGCGGGCCATAGTTTGAGGACCCCTGCCTTACACATTAGCAGTGTGTAAGAAACTGTGTCAAACGCTTTTGCAAAATCCAAGTATACCACATCCACCACCACCCCTCTGTCCAAGTATACCACGTCCACCGCCACCCCTCTGTCCAAGTATACCATGTCCACCGCCACCCCTCTGTCCAAGGTCTTGCTCATCCCCTCATATAAAAGAAATCAGATTTGTTTGACAACTTCTATCTTTCATGAATCCATGCTGTCTGTTGCCTAAAATATTTTTTTCCAGCAAGAACTCATCTATGTGGTATTTTATTAAACTCTCCAATATCTTCCCAACTATAGAAGTTAAACTAACAGGTCTATAATTACTTGGTAAAGATTTTGACCACTTTTTAAATATTGGCACCACATTGGCCTTACACCAATCCAGTGGTACTATGCCAGTCATTAAAGAGTCCCTAAAAATTAGAAACAATGGCTTTGAAATGACAGAGCTCAATTCCATAACGACCCGTGGGTGTATGCCATCCGGCCCAGGTGCTTTATTCACCTTTATACTGTCTAAATATTTTTGAATCATGTAAGATGTGAGCCAATGTAGATCATCTGGAGCTGTGTCAATACCATGCCCATTATGGACAAGAGCTCCCCCATGCTCCTTTGTATACAAAGAGCTGAAGAAGGTATTAAATAAATTTGCCTTCTCTTTGTCCCCAGTCACCCACTCTAGATTATTTTGTAAAGGGCCTACATGCTCTGACTGGACCTTTTTACTATTAATATATTTGAAGAATTTTTTGGGGTTGGTCCTGCTATCTTTTGCAATTTTCAATTTTTGCGGCCTTTATTTCCTTTTTCTCTTATATTCTTTGTAATGTTTAAACGATGATAGTGTTCCTTCATTTTTATATTTAATAAAAGCTCTTTTCTTATTATCTATAGCTTTTTTAACTTTGACAGTAAGCCACATAGGTTTGATTTTTAGCCTTTTAAACGTGTTGCCCATGGGAATATATTTTGCAGTGTGTTCACATACAGTCTTTTTGAAGAACTCCCATTTCTGTTTTGTGTTCATCAATGCCAATATTCGCTCCTAGTCTAAGGCTTGGAGAGCAGCTCTCAGCTTTGGAAAATTAGCTCTCTTGAAATTGAGAGTTTTTATTTTTCCTGTATGTGCTTGCTGTTTACAGCGAACAATAAATGAAATCATGTTATGATCACTGCTACCCAGATGTTCTTTTATATGGACATTCGTAATAAGATCTGCATAGTTTGAGATTACCAGGTCCAGCAGAGAAACATTCCTAGTTGGGTCCTCCATGAACTGTACCTTAAAATTGTCCTGTAGTAGGTTTAAAAATTTTGCCCTTTAACTGCTCCTGCAGTACTATTACTCCAGTAAATTTCCGGGTAGTAAAAATCCCCCATTATTATCACTGTCCCAGCCCTTGCAGCCCTTTCGATCTGTGCAAGGAGCTGAGTTTCCACCTCCTCATTAACACTGGGAGGCCTATAACAAACTCCAATGATTACCTTTGTAGTACGCACCCCCATGTTCAGTTCCACCCATAATACTTCAGCCTCATCACACTCTCCATCAACAAGGTCCTCTTTCACACTCGCTCTGAGATCACTTCTCACATAGAGACAGACACCACCACCTTTCCTATTTACTCTGTTTCTCTGAAAGAGAACATAGCCAGGAATATTAATGACCCAGTCATGTGATGAATGAAGCCAAGATTCAGCAATACCAATTAAATCATAGTTCTCTTCATGCACGAAAGCTTCCAACTCACCTATTTTGCTTGGTTGTCTTCATCTCCAGCCATGGGGTAATTGACTCAGCACACTGTCACTATCACACTGTCAGCCCTAACTTGCCACATACTACAATAACCTGCCACTATGCTGCCACTATACTGCAATAACCTGCCACTGCTGCCAAATCCTGCCACTATACTGCCCAATCCTGACACTATACTGCCACATGCTATGCCACTATACTGCAAAAACCTGCAATATGCTGCCCAATCTTGCCACTATACTGCAAAAACCTGCAACTATGCTGCCCAATCTCATGCCACTATACTGCAATAACCTGCTACTATGCTGCCCAATATTGCCACTATACTGCAATAACCTGCCACTATGCTTGTGCCACTATACTGCAATAACCTGCTGACTATGCTGCCTATATCTTGCACTATACTTCAATAACCTGCCACTATGCTGTCCAATCCTGACACTATACTGCAATAACCTGCCACTGTGCTGCCCAATCCTGCCACTATACTGCAATAACCTGCCACTATGCTGTCCAATCCTGCCATTATACTGTCACTATGCTGCCCAATCCTGCCACTATGCTGCAATAACCTGCCACTATGCTGCCCAATCATGCCACTATGCTGCAATAACCTGCCACTATGCTGCCCAATCATGCCACTATACCAGCAATGGGCAAATGGGCAAACCGCGGGCCGGCGGACCTTTTAATCCGGCCCGCAGAGCTAGGCTCCTCTCACAGTCCGCCTGAAGACCGGTGTAGCATGAAAATCTGTCTCCTATGAGGATCTGTCCCCCTCGACGTATCTGCGCATGTGCCGGAGATCGCCGATCGGCTGCTAATGCCTGAAACTGGCACATGCGCAGATACATCGAGGGGGACAGATCCTCATAGGAGACAGATTTTCATGCTACACCGGAACTGCGCGGGAACACGGCGAGAGGAACGTGCGGAAGCAAAGGTAAGTGAATTGACACAGGGGGGACTTGGGGACTTAATATGGGGGATGAATTACTATAGGGGGATGAATTACTATATGGGGGATGAATTACTATAGGGGGGATGAATTACTATGGGGGATGAATTACTATATGGGGGATGAATTACTATAGGGGGGATGAATTACTATATGGGGGATGAATTACTATATGGGAGATGAATTACTATGGGGGATAAATTACTATGGGGATGAATTACTATATGGGGGATGAATTACTATGGGGGATGAATTACTATAGGGGGGATGAATTACTATATGGGGGATGAATTACTATATGGGAGATGAATTACTATGGGGGATGAATTACTATATGGGGGATGAATTACTATGGGGGATGAATTACTACATGGGAGATGAATTACTATGGGGGATGAATTACTATGGGGGATGAATTACTATGGGGGATGAATTACTATATGGGGGATGAATTACTATGGGGGATGAATTACTATAGGGGGGATGAATTACTATATAGGGGGGGATGAATTACTATATGGGGGATGAATTACTATATGGGGATGAATTACTATGGGGGATGAATTACTATATGGGGGATGAATTACTACATGGGGGATGAATTACTATATGGGGGGATGAATTTACTATATGGGAGATGAATTACTATGGGGGATGAATTACTATATGGGGGATGAATTACTATGGGGGATGAATTACTATATGGGGATGAATTACTATGGGGGATGAATTACTATGGGGGATGAATTACTATATGGGGGATGAATTACTATGGGGCTGATGAATTACTATATGGGGGATGAATTACTATGGGGGATGAATTATGGGGGATGAATTACTATGGGGGGTGAATTACTATGGGGGGATGAATTACTATATGGGGGATGAATTACTATGGGGGATGAATTACTATATGGGGGATTAATTACTATGCTTACTATGGGGGAATATTACTATACTTACTATGGATGACACATACACATCATTCATCTACTCTTGGTCCGGCCCCCGGGTCCAATATATGAACCCATTGCGGCCCTCAGGTCAAAAAGTTTGCCCACCCCTGCACTATACTGTAATAACCTGCCACTATGCTGCCCAATCCTGCCACTATACTGCAATAACCTGCCACTATGCTGCCCAATCCTGCCACTATACTGACCTAACCTGCCACAATACTGCTCTGACCTGACACTATACTGCAATAACCTGCCACTATGCTGCCCTAACCTGCCTCTATACTGCCCTAACTTGCCACTTTACTGCCCTAACCTGCCATTATACCTCCCTAATCTGAAACTATGCTGCTGTAATCTGTCACTGTGCTGCCTTAGCCTGACACTATACTGCCCTAATCTGATACTTTACCATCCTTGTCTGACACTATACTGATCTCAGCTATGCGCTGTGTGGGACGGAGGAGCTCTGCTGCCTGTGCCCAAGCTGTGTGCAGTGAAGGAATGGAAGAAGGAGCTCTGCTGAATGCCCTGTGAAAAATGACCCCTGTCCTCTGCCCTGCCAACAGTGACCCCTGTCTTCAACCTCGCTGACCCCTTACCCCCAGCCCTGCTGACCACTACACTGCCCTACAAACTAATGGCATCTGTACACTACCCTGCAAACTGCCCTGCTGACTTCCCATCCTCTGCCCCCCTGACATTTTTTACTGCACCCCCACATCAGACAGGCTAGATCCAGCCCCGAGTGGAAGCATTGCCCATAGTAACTAAAAAGATGCAAACCATCAGCAGTTAAATGACAGTGAAAATCTGTTTCTTTTCCCCTGGTTAACAGAACACCTCCACATTATATTGTCATTGTCAAATAAAAACACAACAAAGATTGGTATGAAAAGCAGGTGTAAGTGCTATGTTATAGTAATAGATTAGTTGCAATCCATACAGTATAAACCGTATAATTTGCTCCTCCTTACCATAGTTAACATCTGCAGTTTGATGCATCATAGGAACTTTGACCACCGATCCATCGGTGCTGATAAAAGGCAGTGTCTGTGTGTCTGTGAAGGAGAATTTGGTTTTCCATCGGCTTCTGAAATACATTGTACTCACAAGTGTGATCTGTGTAAAACCTGGCAGGAAAGGTCCACAAGGTACGAGAGTCTGTATCCCACCTGGATGGAAAGCAATTTTTTACTAATGACTTCTTGAAATTATAATCATGCTTTTATGTTGTATCTACCATACACTTTAGGCTCGATTCACAAAGCGCACACATCAGGATAAGAATTCTTATTTTAAAAAATAGACAGTGATTTTCAGCTGAGGCCAATGAGATTTTAGAATTACTGTCATGCGGTTAAAATAAAGGTACTTTTCCAGGTGTTTTTGAATTTGTAGCTATAGCTTTGTGAATGTGTAGGCTATGTGGTACATTTCTCTAATAAGGCCTCATGTACACTGTTTCAGCTTACAGCTTTCAGCGTTTTTTTTGTCAAAGCCGCTGGACTCAACTCAATAAAAGCTTATGTGTCTATGTACAGATAGGCTTTTACAAGAGTTTAGGAGCAGTAGAGTTTAGGGGCAGATAAACATTCCTCTTGTGAATGCAGAAAAAGTGCATGCAGGAGATGATTATTTTTGGTCAAAAAAATTGCTAAACGCAGCAAAAACGCATGTACATGCAATTAAACGTGGCTAAACAGTAGCCACGTTTAGCATTTGGCCATTTATCCATGTCAATGGAAAATACTCTGGCCAATCAAATGAATAAACCTCCAAGCACTAAACACAGATAAACTGGTACCGCGTGAGTTCATGTGTACATGAGGCCTAACACTTTGCTCTTCCTCACATATCACTGCTAAGCAACTCAGAACCTGGGAGAAACCCCCCCCCCTTCTCTATTGCTACCTTCAGTATTTGCGTTAAATAGGAAACAATGACATCTCTGGTTTCCATGTCTCAGCAAGTAGCATAATATCCTGAGCAGTCACATTAGTATTGCAAAATCCTCCCACTAATCTACAAATGATGAGCTGCAGCATGGTACGGCGGCAGTAAAGACACAGAGTCCGGTGGCAATAAAACTTGGAACTTGTATTGAAGAGAATGCCAATATACAAATACCCCAGTGGGAGAATGCTGCTTATCGAAAAACAATCACATTTCAGTGAGAGATGTACCGACAGCATCTGCTTCAGAGGGTGAAGTGCTGCCTGGCTGGTCCAGTCCCAAAGGGGAGGCTTCTTGAGAATAGAGAATGCCTGGCCTGTCCCTCCCCATTAGGAACATTTCCTTGTCACTAGTCACTTTCCATTTCAGATGGAGTCTCTCTCCCTACTCTACCCACTTCACAAAAGCACACCAAAATCCATTGGCAGGGACTTACAGTGGGGCAAAAAAGTATTTAGTCAGCCACCAATTGTGCAAGTTCTCCCACTTAAAAAGATGAGAGAGGCCTGTAATTGGCATCATAGGTAGACCTCAACTATGAGAGACAATGAGAAAAGAAATGAGAAAAAAAATCCAGACAATCACATTGGCTGATTTGGAAAGAATGTATTTGCAAATTATGGTGGAAAATAAGTAAGTGAGAACTTATCTAAGAGGCAGAAATTGTTAATTCCTCAATGAACCTCTAGCAACCTTTGGAGGAACCATAGGGTTCCATGGAACCCTGGTTGAGAAACCCTGGTCCAGTGAGAATATTACACTGATCAGTTTGTCAGTTCTACTGGTAACAGTGAACTGCTACTATTTGTATCATACATTGTATTCCTTTTTTATTCACAGATAATTAGACAAAGCTAAAACGTTAGATTACAGCTACACATTCTGCACCAGGTGTATGCTACAGAAGAGGGTAAGCCTTCTCATTTTTAGATTGCATGTGTATGTTGTGTTTGTGTACTCTAACAGAATCATACAGGAAGTCATGCTAAGTTGTCCTAATGATGATAATTGCAAATTGTAGGACACTGTGGAATAATTAATTTTCAAAGACCCTCAAAAATCAGAATAAAGACTGATCCTTTAACCACTTGCCAACCGCGCTATAGCCGAATGACGACTATGGTTGTCCAGTTCCGGGAGGGCGTCATATGATGTCCTCCCAGAACGTGCCCTCCCGCGTGCCCCCGGGGGTGCACACCCAGCGATCTAAATGATTGCTGTGTCCTACGGATACCACTGAGCAGTGATGTAGTAAAAGGCCAATCACAGCGGCCTTTTACCACGTGATCAGCTGTGTCCAATGACACAGCAGATCACTGGGAAATGCAGTAGCCAGTTATTGGCTGCACTTTCCTCAAGCTGTCACAGCACTGCCGATAACTGGAAATTGTCAGAGGACGGATCGGCACTGATCATCAGGGCACTGATGATCAGTGCCCAGCAGTGCCACCCAGCAGTGCCGCCCATCTGTGCCACACCCTGTGCCCATTGCCTAGTAGTGCCACCCACCTGTGCCCAGCAGTGCCATTCACCAGTGCCCAGCAATGGCCCAACATAAGTGCCACCCATCAATGGTGCCAAGAAGTGCCACCCAGAAGTGCTGCCAGTCAGTGCCCAGCAGTGCCGCCAGTCAGTGCCCATCAATGCTGCCCATCAGTGCCGCCTATCAGTGCCCATCATTGTTTCATATTAGTGCCGCCTATCAGTGCCCATCAGTGCTGCTTATCCATGCCACCTCATCAGTGCAGCCTATCAGTGCCCATCAGTGCTGCCTATCTTTATCACCCCATCAGTGCCCATCAGTGCTGCCCATCAGTGCCCATCAGTGCAGCCTCATCAATGCACATCAGTGAAGGAGAAAAATTACCTGTTTGCAAAAGTTTATAATAGAAACAAGAAAAACTGTTTTTCACATTTTTTGCTCTTATTTGGTTTATAGCGCAAAAAATAAAACACCCAGCAGTTATTAAATACCACCCAAAAAAAAGCTCTATTTGTGTGAAAAAATGATAAAAATTTCATCTGTGTACAGTGTTGCATAACCACGCAATTGTCATTCAAAGTGCGACAGCTCTGAAAGCTGAAAATTGGCCTGGGCAGGAAGGGGGTACAAGTGCCCAGTAGGCAAGTGGTTAAAGATGAACGCATCCCTTTTTGGGAAATTTCTCCTTACTTCATGCCATGGTGGCACGGTTTCCCCAGATGGAACACAGACAACATTAACAACCGGAGAGAGGTTTAACCCTTACCAATGCTATCCAACACTAAAATGAAAGGTTTCAGCTAGAGACCCACTTTACCAAGTTATAACCAGTCCACTAATTATCAGATACTTACTAAGAGGAACTTCAGCTTACCTCCCCTTCTTTTTTTTTTAACTTTACCTCTGCTTACCTGGTGGTGTTGTATCACAGTATGGATACTCACCCAGCCACTGAATCCAGCATTGTCCCACTGACAACATTCTGTGACCAGACACAGTTCAGTCTGGTGCCACCATCTTACATTGGCTCTTTCAGGATCAGCAGGCGGGGCCTCATGATGACTCGCTGCTAGGCCCACCCCCTCCTACTAGCTGAATGGAACACTCAAGGCCTCCTGGGATATGTGACATGCATATCCCAGGTGGTCCAGCAAGGCTATGCATGTCATTCGTCAAGGCGCATGATGTGCACGGAGGGGAGGGGCCACGTTTTTATGAAGACAAAAAAAAGTAAAAAAAAAAATAAAACACTCCCCAATTTGTGCTGAGTAGTGGCTGCAGCATTGGGAACATGTTACATGTGCCACCCTAAAAATGGGTGGACCTTCTCACATATTCCCAAAGGTGAACTTATCCTTTAAATGGCACACGTGGGAGATAATAATCACGGACTCTCACTTCATATATTGAAGAATGTTTGATAACAATTATGGACTCACTGTATAGTTTATGTAATTTTTTTTAAAACGTAGACACATCTGTTGTAGAATATACATTCATTTTATTTAATTTACTTTGCACAATGCTTCCCAGCAATGATTGATATATATAAGTTACATGGGGCTACTGCATAGGTGCCGCCAGCTCAAAGAAGGCTTTCGGAAGAAAAATGTAAACCGGGTTTGTCCAACCTGTGGTCCACGGGCCGTACGTAGCCCAAGATGGCTATGAATGCAACCCAAAACAAAATGATAAAGTTACCTAAAAACTTTGATTTTTTTTTGGGGGGGGGGGAATTTTTTTTGTAAAAATATATTTACACTTAGCGAACACATATGGCTCTTTTCTGGACATTTATACATTTTTTTATTTCCAAAGAACAATCTCCCACTGTTCACAGTCACATATTATTCATGTTATCTGTTGCAACACCTATATTTGTAATATGTGATGAGCACCTTGAGAATAGATTGAGAATTGCTACTGCATCCATCGAAGCAGATATTGATTTTAGTTTTTATGTTGCCCTCTTTTACTTTCTATAATAAAAAAACAAAACAATTCTCCGACTTGCTTTTGGGGTTGTCAACAAATAGGCACCATGGCTAATATTTGGTGGACTTGCCCCAAGGTGTGCAGATTATGGATTAGGGTCCAAGCCCTTCTCCGCACTATGTTGCACATAGATATTAAGCGCAACCCATACAAGGCACTATTATTTAAACCATTAGTAGGCCTACTGCGTCCGGAGGGCAGCTGGCATCGCATCTATTTATGGCTACCAAATTAACGATCTCGAGAGCTTGAAAAACTCCTCTTATTCTCTTCGAGACCGCTAAGAACCGGATGAATTTTATAATGGTTAATGAGAAGCTAAAGGCCATGCTGTTAGACACCCACCCAAAGTTTTTGCAGATCTGGCTCCCTTGGATTGATGTGGCTTAACCATCTAGATTTGGCCAGACCCTTTTTTCGATACAAGAATCCCCTGGAGCCCTTTCTTTGTCTTAACTATCCTTGTTTCCCCCTTCTTTTCTTTTTTTTTTTCTTTTTTCTCTTTCTCTTCTTTGTTTTTGTTAGTCTTCATGCTATTTGCACTGATTGTAATACTACTAGAGAATTGTACCTGCAATGTTTTATATACTTGTCGGACCTTCTCAAGAGTCCTTGGTGTGAAGTACCGATGTGCGTCCAGTGCGGCTCCGTGCCCAGCTTTTCCTATCCTCTGTATGCGATTTTTGTGATTATCTTTGGCCCTCTCCTACTAGCCCATTGGTCATTACTTGTTTTCTATTAATGCAATTTATCAGGTTTCTTTCCACCCTTTTATGTATTGTGTTTATGTACTCAGTTTCTTTCTTTGTCAATACTTCAGTGCATTTGTCACGTCCTTCATCAGAAGATTTGTATACTTTATTCTTTGTGTCAGTGAGTGATCTTACTTTTGACTGTTTGTTGTTATGTTGTCCATAATAAAATCCATTGTAAAAGAAAAAACTAAACAAAAAATGAAGTTTTATTACTCAAATAAGTACATTATCTATATTAGTGATCGCTAACTTGTGATCTGCCTGACGTTTTCTGCTCACCAGCCATCCTTATTGTTACTGTATATTTGCCCAAGTTTATATTTGGTACAAGACCAGGGGCAGACTGACAACTCATGTGGCCCCCGGGCAATAGGGGATCATGGGGCCCCTGTGTCCTTGCCCAAACTCAAAAAAGCCTATGAAAAAGGTACCAGGGGCATCTCATGGGGCCCCCTCCTGACCCCGGGCCCTCGGGCAGTGCCCGAGTTTCCAAATGGTCAATCCGCCCCTGTACAAGACAATTTTTTCAGTGTGGCCCAGGAAAGTCAAGGTTGGACAGCCATGGTGTAAACAAATACTGAAGGCCGCATCAGCCAGACTGCACTAAGTATACATCTGGAGAGGTGAAGGGTGGGCTAGGTCAGGGAGGAACATGCAACTTTATTTAACCGCTTTGCATCGGCGCCTCCTGGCCCTTTAAGAGTTTCAGAAAAAGGGAGGTGGGGTTTAGGGTCATGTGACCGCGTTACGGCGGTCACATGATCAGGATATTTCCCGATCGAAAGAGGAGATTGGGACCTTTCCCTGAGTACTGGATATGTGTGCTGGGAGCGCGCAGGGCGCGCGCTCCCGGCACATATGTCCTTTTTTAATAGAATGCAAATGTGCGGCCACTCGGTGTCTAGGCCCAGACGACGGGAGGCCGCACATTTGCGTTCGGCCGGCGTGAAGAGGTTAAAGGTTCACCTATCCTTTTAAAAGAGTGACAAAGTAGTTACACTAAACATATTATAGCTCCCTCTAGAGGCTAATTTATATATATTTAAAATAATATCTGTATTTAATACAATTATACTAGCCTTGTTTACAGTAAAATTCTGATAACAGTACATTGTGGCACAGATTTGCAGTATAGATCTCCTCACCTCCTGTGTTCCTGGTGACCCATTGGTTGATCTGACTTGCTGTCCATGTGTGCTCACTGAAGTTAGCCTGTTGGAGGCTGCTGTTTGCCCACAGTGCAGCATTCTCAATAAACTGGGCAGACAGGGAGGTCCCAGTCTGCACAAACAAGGCACACGCCAAGTGCATGGACGTTTCCTGGCTGGAGTTCACCAATTCCCTGTGCATAGCTTTCATGAAATTTCGTACAGATTCATCTAAAATAAGGAAGAAAGCATGCCATGTTATTGTACAGACTATAATAAAACCAATACAGCACCCTAATTTCCCTACACTCTCTGGCCATTACAGAAAACCTCTACTGACCTGAATAAGAAGCCGCTGTGGACTAAAAATGCTATTTCCATGGCTGCCATGGAGATTTGATGGCTTCTGGCAAGCAACATTGGAGTCATTTAATTGTAAGAAGCATGCAGATCAGGGATTTTGACTTCAATGGTTATATATTTGTTGACTCAAAAAGTACTAAAGTCCCCCCCACCCCAACCCATTATTTCCCCCCGCATTTCACTATCTTTTTTACTCCTAGTAGTTTTTCTCACCTCTGCTATCTTCCTCTAACTCAAATGTATCCTCTTATCATAACATCAACTTTTTATTCCTTACTTCTTTTTCCTATATTTTCTTTCCCATTCTACTTCATCAGTTCTACAAATCTCTGTGTAGTTTTAAATTCTCCTCACTTTTCCAAGATCTTCATGATTTTATCTTCCCCGCTAAAATATAGTTATTTATTTATATAGCGCTGTCAATTTACACAGCACTTTACACATATATATTGTACATTCACATCAGTCCCTAACCCTCAAGGGGAGTACAATCTAAGGTCCCTAACTCACATTCATATACATACTAGGGACAATTTTGGACAGGAACCAATTCACCTACCAGCATGTCTTTTGAGTGTGGGAGGAAACCAGAGTACCTGGAGGAAACCCATGCAGGCACAGGGAGAACATGCAAACTCCAGGCAGGTGGTGTCGTGGCTGGGTTTTGAACCAATGACCCTAGTACTGTCAGGCGGAAGTGCTAACCATTTAGCCACTGTGCTGCCCACACTGTGCTGCCCATTCCTGTATATAAATTCTATTCGTTTTATCCAGTATTTTATTCTTGGGGTCTCTTGGGCCTATCAAAATTCAGGGATCAACCCTTTTGCTGCATTGATTAAATGGGGTACTATTGTATTTTTATATTGTATCTTTGTTAAATAGGTATTCTGAAATATGACTCACCCACTGGTCTTTTAACTGCTTATGGCCCGCCCACAGTACTTTTACTGCTGCAGGTTGGGCCTGCTGCGCAAAATCACGTATATATACGTGATTTTGCATTTCCAGGGAGGGGTGCGCAACTGCCCTACCCACGCTGCCAATCACGGCCCCGGGTGTCAATGACCAGGTCCTTAAGTCACATTGCTACTGAAGTCACTTTGCTACTGATCTTTTAAGAGACTGTCACACTTCAGCTGGAGTATTATTCAGAATCCATCCTTATTTGTACATAAATACAGGACATTGGTCCCCAATCTGTCAAGTTGAGCATCCCATAATCCCTAATCCCTATCCAAGTTGTTTTCCCCTAAATAAAACAACAAACACAAGCCCATGGACTGAATACTTTGCTTTGTGTGTTTGCTGAAAATACGTGTTGCCTGGCAGTGCAGGAAATAGAGGGACCCAAAATCCTGCGGCTCCTTAGGGGGTAGAGCTAAATATGTAAAACATTTATTAGAAAAAAAATGCACTCACAGGTAATGGGTGACACAGCCTGGGTCTGATGAGGACTGGGAATGGCAGGATGGTAACCACAAGCCCCAGCCTTGGCCGTCAGCATGCTGTAATGAGAAGGGTTTGTGCTTTGTTTCTCCTCCTTGTATTTTTCCTGAGCACCCTAACTGGTTATGAAGGCTGCATCTCTACAGGTAGAGTAGCTGTGGTGTTTTTTAGTCATTTTGGGCTACTCACGTCAGCTTCTTCTTAGGGCTCATGTACACTGCAGCTGATAAACTCACGTTTAGGAGCTTTTCTGCATTTTTTGTAGCAGCCCCTGAACTCTCCATAATGTTTTCCTATGTGTCCATTTACACATCGTTGTTTACAGTCTTTTACAGGCAGTTGAGTTTACAGTCGTTTTTTTGAAAGCACCAAACTTGCGTTCAGGAGTAGATTTTATCAGCGTTTCAAACGCCAAACGCTTGTAAACGCGGCTTACCACGTTTATAAGCGTTTGCTTTAAAAGCGTTTTTTAACTGTTCCATAGCCAGATGCTGTCCAGAGCCTTTTTTCATCATCAGAAATACATGCAAAGTGTTTTTCATATATTCCAATGGACCCGGTACACCAGCGCAGTCAGTTCTAGGTTTTGCGTGAAGGAAAAAAATGGTAGAACATTCCACATTATGCTCATAATGGGATCCATAGTGAATACAAACAGAAAAGACAGATCATCTCAACACATACTGCTCTCTCTGCTTCTGCTCTCTCTATTTCTCTCAAAATGTCTGAAATAGTAAATTTTTTACTGTTTTTCAGTGCATTCTGGGCATTTTGGAAGGTCTCCTGAGGTTATCTTAAAAAAATGCTTCTAATCGCAAAAGCGCATAAACACGGTATGCAAACGTGGCTAAACATACGTTTTTTAACCTACATTTTCCAGCAGTCAGTTTATATAGTTCAGAAGAGTTTTCCAAACGTCCCGTGTACATGAGCCCTTATATTGGATTTTTGTCTGTAGATTGATGTTCATCAGCATGGTTCCCCATGCTGACAATAAGTTAATCTACTTTTTTATGTTTTAAAACTGGGAGTGTGCAGAGTAGCCCCAAATATGAAAAAAAAAATAGCCCCTACATTTGTACAGTGTGGTAATATACTGTGTCCTGACATACACAGCAACAAACGCATTGAAGCAAGGAATAGGTTTGCTGGTTGTAGAGGGACCAGTATAGTGACCCCCTACTTCGTAGAGTGTGCCCTACCATCCCTGCCCAAACATCGAAGGCTCCATGCACACTGGCATTTTTTGAAGCTCCTAGAAGCTGTTATTTGAAATTATTCTACTCCTAGAAGCTAAATAGTGTTATCCTGTGTGTCTATGCTCACTACTTTAGGCTATTAGCATTTTTTAAACTTGAACGTCTAGGAGCAGTAGAAAAACAAATGTATTTGTAGAATTTTTTTTGAGCGTTTTTCCAACAGAAACAAATTCTAAGCGCTGCTATGCGCTACTAAAAAGCTCCTAACAGCTTTTTTCTATAATTATTTTCCTCTACATGTTCTCTAAAAATGCTAATAAAACGCTATCACTCCTAAATGTTTCTGAATGCTACTAAAAAAGCTACTACCAGCATTTTGTGAGCAAAAAACCCCGCTAGTGTGCATGGAACCTAAGTATGCTAAAAACATGCGCGTTCCTTCAATAATATCATAATGCATTTCTCATGTTTGAGCAGTGTGAGGTCTGTCACCTGCGGCATGAGGGTTTGTGCTTAGTTGTAAATACTGACTTTCAGAAAATTTTGGAAGCTGCAGTAGATCACTGAGTTAGAAAAATAGAATCACTGATTGTAGAAAGGTAGTATGTGGCCCTGGTGGAGCACTGCAATCCTTATGCCTTCCGGTCAGAGTCACTTTAACATCATGATCTAAAGATCCAACCACATGTTCTAACCCAATCAGAAATGAGCTGCTATTAAATTTCACTCTACTAGTTTACTTCAAACTGCAGAAAGTTTGATATTTGATCAGGTGATGTGGTTTTATCCCCACCAATCACTTTGTATGGTTTATGATCCAACCTAGACTGGGATATCCATGAATATCAGTGAATGACCAATCCACTGTTTCTTTTTTTTTTTTCTTTCAGTTAAATAGTATATAAACCCAACATTTCATATTCCTGATATTTGCCTGCTGTACCATGTACTTATATGAAAAAGTATCCTCTTCTCTTTGTATTGCTTCCTTTGTGTGAACTCCTTGGTGAACCTGCCAACCCCCCGCTTTCCTATTAAAAACTGACCACACAAGGTATGAGAGCATAGTGTGGTCAGTTTTCTGGCTGTGCTGGGAACTCAGCCTGCTCTCTTCCAAAGATCAGACTTGTCCTGACATGCCCCCCCGTGAACAGCCATTCACAGGGAGTGGCCAATGTGCTGATGTTTCTCCTCCCTCAGCTCTCTGAGCTCACAATGCAGCTGAGAACAGATGGTACGTGATCACTTATGATAAAAGGGAAAAGATAGAGTATATGCAATTGTTTTGCTTTTAATTTCTATTTTAAAATAAATGGATTGTTTTACAAGGTGAAGGTTCACATCAGGGGCGGACTGACCATTCGAGCACTCGGGCACCGCCCGAGGGCCTGGGGTCAGTAGGGGGCCCCAAGAAATGCCCCTGATACCTTTTTTATAGGCTTTTTTGAGTGTGGGCAAGGACACAGGGGCCCCATAATCCCCTATTGCCCGGGGGCCCCATGAGTTGTCAGTCCGTCCCTGGTTCACATATACTTTAAATCAACAAATACACCCCTTGATGGGTACCAGTGCAGCAGGTACTTTATATGGCTAGTATTCCCACATTACGAGCTCTATTTGTAGGCTTCCTGTAGGCTTTGCTGATGCCAGCCCACATACTCATCACCATCAGGCTGACGTCTCAACATTACAAGCCCAAAGCAGTGTCTACCTCTCAAAACACTAGTTCAATGCAGAAGGGTATTGAGCTCCTGCACCTGATCAGTTCACAGAGGAAGCTGCAGGAGTTTGGGGATTTATTGCAACAAGCCTACCCCATGTGTGGGCACGTAAGTTATCCACCATCTGCTCCAATGATATTGGAGCTTTTGGAACCCCTTCCTTTTTTTTTTTACATGCCAAATAAAGTCAGGTGCACTGCATGCGGTTGCAGGGCTGTTGTTGTATGGCCCTATTTAAATGAATGGGTCAGGATGGGTGTTGGTCCTGCCAGCCTTATGTGACATGGCAGTTCATTTTTGCTGAAGCCGCAAAGCAGGGTATCACGTGATGGGTCTGCATTTTGAGGGTTAAAAAAAGCTACAAGGATGTGACATATCACTTTCTTACCACCTTTAAAATGTCCTGTGAAAAGCAAACTACTGTTTTAGATTATCTTCCAGTGACCCTGTGATCCCCCAGTTTTATAAGAAACATGAGTCTCAACTGAAAGTATTTTTTTAATTAGCACACCTTACATATAGACAGCTCTTAAAAGGGGAATCTACAAACTGTACATGAAGTGTGGCACGCACACTCCGATCCTCACAAGACCTCCTTCTCTCTAGTTCCCTGGTCTCCTCCTCCCATGCCCGCCTCCAGGACTTCTCCAGGGTGTCACCCATCCTCTGGAACTCCCTGCCCCAACCATCAGATTATCACCTACTCTCCTCTCCTTTAGGCGCACCCTGAAAACCCATCTCTTCAGGGAAGCATACCCCACCCCCTGCTAACTTGCCGACCTCCTCCACTCTTCCTACCACTCCATCCCCTACAGCTATCTCCTCCTGTGCCACCATCCCCTCCCTCCTAGATTGTCAGCTCGAAAGAGCAGGGCCCTCGATCCCCTCGTGTTTTCCATTGTATTGTTATTGTTCTGTCACATGTTCTGTCACATGTTCTGTCCCCCTTTGTAATGTACAGCGCTGAGCGAACTATTGGCGCTTTATAAATACTGTATAATAATAATAATATTAATGAAATAACATTTTGAAAATATAAAAAATGAGCTACTGAAAATGTGAGCATTACAATAAAATTCACTATACAGTAGACTATAACATAATGTAAAATACTCACTGGAACCCTACGACAGTTTGCTGCTAAGCAGCTGACTTTCATAGATATGTAACTGAGAAGGGAAAAAAACCTACAGACCTTTATTACAATGCTCAGGGAGACATCTGATCACCATGCCACATAAGGTGAGCACCGACTAATCCTACTATCTTGATTCTTTTAAATAAAAAAATCCTTTAAGTATCTTATTAAATTGAAACTTACGTGTATGAAGCTATTTTTTAACTCATTCAGTGACCCTCTGAAATTGACCTTGTTATTGTAAATTATTAAAGGATATTACAAAAAAAAGGTCATTTGCTATTGGGGCGATAAAATAAAAAAATCTTGCTATTATCTGGACTGTTACATACTTTTTATTTAAAGTGGAACTATAGGCAAAAAGCAGTGGTTCTTTATATGAGCCCCCCCTGTAATAGTTTTATCAACTGTCACTTTAGCAGGGTGACAATGCTCTTGGTTCTGCAGTGAAATCCCACAGCAGCGTTGCCACCCTATGGACAAAGTAATCTTAAATGGTCTTTTTTAAATGTATTTATCATTTATTTCAGGTACTTATATAACGCCTTCAAATTGCACAGTGCTTTACATATATATTGTACATTCATATCAGTCCCAAACCCTAAGGAACATACGATCTAAGGTACCTAACTCAAATTCATACATACTAGGGCCAATTTAGACAGGAGCCAATTAACCTATCAGCATGTCTTTGCATGGATTAAAGCTAGAACTTCAAGATTTGCAGGGAAACAAAAATTGGCACATCGCTGCTGACAGGGAAGAGCTCTGTATTGTTTATATTGACAGAGCTCTGCCCTGTCTTCCTCATCAGCAATCAGCAGGTCCCAGCTGTCAATCATTGGCCTGCTGATCGGCTTGTGATGTGTCTAATCACAGCTCAGCTGGGACGGATGTACCTAGTACCTGGGGAGGACTGACCATTTGGAAACTTGGGCACTGCCCGAGGGCCTGGGGTCAGTAGGGGGCCCCATGAGATGACCCTGGTACCTTTTTCATAGGCTTTTTTTTAGTTTGGGCAAGGACACAGGGGTCCCATGATCCCCTATTGCCCGGGGGCCCCATGAGTTGTCAGTCCGCCCCTGCCTAGTACATAATCCAGAGTAGGAGAGCCAGCTTGCCGCCACACATCTAAGTGATGTGGTTGGCCAGCGGGTAAAATGAATAGATTGTTTTACAAGGTGAGGGTTCATATATGCTTTAGTTGGAAAAAAACAACAAACAGCAAAAACAAATAATATAGTGTATACAATTGTGACTCAAGTCATATTCTAATTGAATGTTATTAAAAATTCTCTTTTCTTTTCAATCTGCAGCTCTGTGATCTTCTGTAAAATGCAATGCAATATGGCTACCCGGAGGGGTTTTGTATACAGATGTACAGAATGCCCCCCAGAAATGACATTTCTGTAAAAAAGTGTTATCAGTTGTTGAAATTCCCAACAGATGATTTTGTTTCTCTATTTCCTTTAGCAGGGTGACAACGTTCTTCGTTCTGCAGTGAAATCCCACAGCAGCGTTTCCACCCTCTATACGAGGATATCTTAAATGGACATGTAGCTTTAAACGGATTAAAACTAGAACTTCAGGATTTTCCTTCCTGTATTAAAAAAATTGCCAACCTTCACTCACTCTCTCCAAGCTCCAGGTGATCTCTGGCATGCATCATGTACCCTATCTCTGACAGACTCTGCATATCTACCCACACCTGTAGAATGTCACCAGTCTCTGTGTGTCTGCTGTAGGACCTTTGCAGCCTTTTTTGGGCTCATTCACACGAGTGGCCAGGGGGAAGTAAAATCCAGCAGTTGAGCCATGGATTTACTGCCCCCTGACAGGCTCCTGACAGCTGTACACATGGTGCAGCCACAGTGAAAGTTAAAGTGGTTGTAAACCTCAGACATGAAGTATGAACAAAACTATAGCTACAGTATAGTCTTGTCTCAAACCAGAGTACTAAATTCAATTCTGTCTGCTGCCTTGTTCCTCTGCTATCTGCATGAATCATTTCTGACAAGATTTCCTGACACCAAGAGGTAACAAAAGGTGATGGGAGGGATTTCCAGCACACAGCCTGTGATTGACAGCCTCAGCCTTCCTTCGTGCTGTGTGAAGGGGGCTGTGTCCCATGTCCCTTCTCTCTAATCAGCTCTCCTTGAGCTATGAAGAGGGTAACTTCAGCTCCCCTCCACCTGCTTTCTGATGGTCATTCAAGCTCTATAAATTCTGAACTTTAAACAGATGTAGAGTAGAAATGGCTGCAGATAAACAGGTACAACTAATGTAGGAGGATTTGTTTTATCTCTGTGTATCACCTGAAGCCAGTTGCTTTACTTGGAATAAGTAAGGGTTTCTAACCACTTTACACAACATGTCACTTTTCCTGGTGGTGCAGCCAACGAACCTAACCCATTCAAGTGAATGAGGGTGCGCCACAACCGCGCTGCAAAGCATTTTGAAGGTTAAAATGACATATCGCCTGCTAGCTGCCTGTCAAATGCCCTCCGAAAGCAATCCACTTCATGTTGCATTCAGAGGTGTAGCTATGTTAGCCACAGGTGTGAATGAGACCTTCCAGTCTTTATACATTATTTATATTGAATATCATGTATGGTCCTTTTGGTGATGTCAGGGGCCACAGTTCAACCCCAGCAAGTTGACTACTGCTTTAAAGAGTTTAAACATTTTAAAAATGATTTTCTAAATAATATTTTACCATTAACGTTGTATCCCAGCACATTCTCTATCTGAGCGGAGGTGCTTCCTCGAGCTCCAAACTGCAGTAACCCCAGAGAGTTGGCCACACTGATTGGGGAGATCACTGAGTTAGTCCTGTTTTCTGTCTCCACTAACATCTGGTACAGCCTGACCGCAAAGTCCGTATTCAGCTCTCTGAGTCTCTCATACGAGTGGCTGTATCCTCGGCTGAAACAACTTAAACACACGAGCATCAGGAGCAGGTAAACTGGAGGCATGGAGAATGTGTGGCCAGGTGATCACCAGTCCTAGGGAATATAAATGGATAAAATACAGATGTGATACTGCATGTCAAACTACAGCATTTAATGCTTAAAGTGTTCCTAAACCCCGGACCCTGCATTCACTATATCTGGTCTCCCACAGTACACAGAACATGGAAATACAATTATTTTAGTAAATATAAACTGTTATATACCTTTTCTCATCAGCAGTTAGAGCAGTCTTGTGGCTTCTATCAGTATCCATCAGAGCACTGGTTAAGGCCTGTAGGAGGAGTTTTCTCTAGGAGGATGCAGAACCCCTGACCTCTGTCTGGGCAGTGCTGATTGGCCCTGTGCTGATAACATGCACTGTCCCAAAAAAACCAACCCTCTCTAGCAATACACACCAAACTGAGCATGTGCAGAGTGACTCCGCACAATATATCTTATCATGTGATAAGAGGAAGACACTAGAAGAAGGGAATATCAGAGAAGACAGGATCAAACAGCCTTTTTACACAATGCAGAGGATTAACCCCTTAAATTCCACAGTGAGTATAACAAGCATGCTTTACTGCATATACAGACTGATTTTACTGTTGTGGGTTTAGTAACACTTTAAATCAGACCTAAAGCCAGACATTAAAATCTATAAGCTTTAACATGTCATTTCAAAAGCTGATTTACATTCTTTTCATCCTGCAGCTTTCATTAATATAATATCTGCTGATCCTGCCATGAAAGTCCTTGTTTAGGCCCTTCCTATTATGGGTTGACAACTGTCTCACAATGGTGCTCCTGAATTGCCACTCCATCATATAAGCCCCTTTTTGGGGCCTACATGCAGATGTGCTGACATACATTGCACAGGCATGATCTACTGTTGTAACTATGTATGTGTAAAAAAAATAGGATGCTAAAGTGTGCCCTCCCTCGGCTCTTTTACTTGGCATTATAAAACACAAATACTATGAAAATACTCTCAGAGCTAGACAAGGTCCTATGGCACCCAGGACTAGGATGCCAAAGTTCCAACAAACCCAACCTGTAGGCAACCTGCCTGCACATATTTTAAAAGTTAGTACTGCATGAACAAATGTAAATTTACAAACAAAGGTTTACATACAAAAGAGCCTGCAAAAATATTTAGGGCAAAAAGAAATAAAGAATTTATTAAAAACTAATTAGGTTTAACTAAGGGCTAAAAGGAACTAAAATGTTGTTTTTTTTAAGCTTCTATAGTGTCCCCTTGTGTACATAGTTTGTGAGTGTAGTTAGAGGCCTGAGTGTGAGTCAGAAGGTTTACTTCAGGACAGGCTGGAGGGTTCTACAGGTCAGTCCTCTGGTACCTGTCTCTGCTCTAGAAGCTTGGAGAGGTTTCTAGAAGCCAGTTGGTGGAGGCCAGGAGGAGCTTATCTGCATATTCATGGGAAACTGACCAATCCCAGGCAAGAGGCCAGCAGTTTGGCAGACTGGCCCATAAATATGAGAGTGCCTAGCCAGCAGGGGAGTCAGGTGGAAGATGGAGTACTGGGGAGTGTTGTTGTTAGCCTGGGAGGGCACTGCAGAGGAAGGGGGCTTTGCCTCTAGGCTGGAGGTCGGAAGAAAGCTGAAAGAGGGAGCTCCACTGCCTGTCCACCAAGAAAAGGACAGCATGGAAGGAAACCAGTCCAGCAAAATCCCTAAAGCAATTCATCCAAAGATGCAGGACACAAGGATAGTGTGAGTACCTCTATACCTCTACAGGAGAGAAGGCTGCAAGGTGCCCGACCAGTTCTCCCTGGGACAGTACTGCAAGTCTGCTTCAGAATCTCTTGCCTCAGGATACTCTTCAAAAGACAGCCAGGTGGATGGGTAGTTCTAGCTGGGGTCTGAAGAGGTTAATTTGAAAGGGACCAAGTGTACCTCATAGAGAGTGTGTTACTGACCTGTCAAGAGACTGTTGCCACTCCGGAGGAAGTGAAGAGTCCAGGATCCTACATTTTGTGAAGTTTTTCCTCAGACATTTTGTTCTAGTCAAGTTGGCATTACATATACCCCTAGACCCTATCCAAGTTGTTTATCCCCAAATAAAACAACAAAAACAAGCCCATGGACTGGTTACTGACTCTGCATGAAATTTGGAAAATGCGTGTTGCCTGGTCAATGCAGGAAAATAGGGGGAACTAAAATCAGTGGCTCTCAAGAGGGTAGCGCTACACTTTTTTGTTGATATATGTTTATTTCCATATATGGACCCTTGCACAAGAACACATGCCATGTTTTCAGGCACTCAGACTTTTTTCTTTTTCCTGATCTAAATGCAGCCTTTTGTTTTTAATTGGCCTCTACACACAGTAAATAAATGCTGCATATAGGTAAGTAAAAAAAATAAAAATACAAAAATCTGTTCTGCTGATCAGTATTTTATTTTATGGATGGACTGATGGCTTTATTCAACCTCACCAACTATGTAACTATGTGCATACATGTGCAAATATGCACGTTTACACACATACACCACACCCCATTGATTGTGCAAATTCAGAAAAATAAAGTGCATAAAACTCCAAAATGCAATAGATTAAAGTACATCAAAAACATTCAAAAGTGCAAATGTGATATATATAAAAAGTCCATATACATAAGTCCAACTTCAAAGTGCTGAATGAAGAGCGATCCTCATAAATACAATCAATCTCTCTTCATACTGAAGTGGCATGAAAAGACTCCAATCACCTGAGTGAACCATGTAAATCATGCCTATTACCAGATTCGGTGGACCACCATATTAGAAGATATGGAGAATCACTGGCACCCTGTATCCCTTTTAGGTAAAGCAGACATATGAAACCTCTCATATTTATAATCATTTCTAAGCAAATTTCATGCTTGACAAAAATATGCACATTAGCAGTCTTTATATATTAGGTATTCAGTGACATTTATACCTATAGAAAACTGTATCTGGGATTTAGTCATAAATGTAATTACATCCCAGCAACCACCCCTTAGACTAGATGATTGGTCAGATAGTCTCTGTCAACACCCACCTTGATGTGAAGAAAAGCAAGGAATGAACACCTAACTGGACTGAGAGAGCCACTTTACCGTCTTTGCTTATTCATTGGATTCTTAAACCAGGACATTGTTAAGTATTCTCACCCTCAACTCCTATTAATTTCTCTGTTACTTGTTATCTCTTTGTTACTTTGTAATATCTGTTTTTTTGTAAATATTTTATTTGCACCATTTTTACATTTTCATTATTAAACGCTATTTTGAAAAGTGTTAAAACTGTCTCTAACATGCTAACACAAACAAAAAGAATCCCTGTCTCTTGAAGAGCGCTACATGTATATGATAAATCTCTGAATATACCTGTCTGTGGTGACAGTGTGTGTACAGGAGTTTATTTTAAAATCGTAATTGCTATTGCTAATCTTGTGAAAGTTTCCATCTTCGGTGGTGGCATTTTAAAGAGTTAATTGCTTAGTTAACTAAACTCAGTAACAATCACTCACAGTCTGTTGGCACCTAGATTGTGGTCCTGCAAGCTGGAAAATCTTTGTGTAGTGTGGGGCTGAGAGTGCCTTTGTTGCGTAAGTGACAGCGCGTTGTTGCGTTAGTCGGACACCCCTGTTCGGCACAGTTTAAACTGTATTTTATGAAAAAACATGACAATTATTTATACCAAGTGCTTTAGCAAACTAAATGTCATCCAGTTAGGGATTAGATATACTTTATTTTCATCTGTTTGACAATTTCTCTAAGGTAAAAATTAAAATCTGGAAGTATTCACCTAGATTTAATAAATAAATCTATAGCAAGATGTTTTTTTCACTGACCCACCTAAAATGTTACACTTGAAAAATCATGATGAAGTTGAGCTTTTTAAAAGAAAATTCTTATAGTAACAACATTTCCTAGGAGTAGTATTCAAATAGTCATGAGAGAACTTCATTTTACATGTAACCAAGGATATGTAGTGCTACCCCCTCGAGGGCTGCTGAGTTTTTGGGTCCACCCTAAGCTCTGCACAGCCAGACAAAACTCATTTTCCAGCACTCTCATCTGAAGTCAGTAAAACAGTCCTTGATCTTGGTTTTGTTGTTTTTATTAGGGTTTAACAACTTGGATGGGGTCTAGGGGTGTATGGAATGCCCAAGGAACTGTACAACTTTGAGGATGAACTTCTCATCAAAAATGGACAAAAATCAGCAAACGATCTCTGTAAGGAGCACTTGGTCCCCTTTGGTGAACCTCGTAAGAACCCAGATGAAAATCCCTCATCCACTGGCTGTCCGGAGGGTGTCCCTGAGCAAGGGATTCCAAGATCTACAATAAAGTAGTCCCAGGGAGAACTAGTTGGGTATTGCACCTGACCGCCCTCTCCCTTCTTTGGTCCAGGGAGTGTAGGAGTACTCACACTTTCCTGTTCCTGTAGCTTAATGGGTTACAGCTGCTTTCAGATTTTACTCAGGGTTAGCTCCTTCCCTGCTAACATTCTGTCTTTCCTAGTAGACTGTGTGACAGTGGAGTTCCTTCTGTCTGGCTTCAGTCTGTAGGTAGCCACCCCCCCCCCCCCCCCCATCTGCTGGGGTCCCTTCCTGGGCTCCACACACCAGCACCATACTTCACTCCATCTTCCACTCAACTCCAACTAATCCTGCTGATCAGGCTCTCCCATATTTAAGGGTTGTCCTAGCCACAATGCCAGGCCTCCTGCCTGGGGATTGGCCCGGTTCCCTCAAACATGCAAATCCAGGCCTCCTCCCCTCCTCTGCCCCTCTTCTAGAAAGTGCCAGAGCTTTTTACAAGGGTGGGAAGGCTCCAGAAGCTCTGTCCTGTAGAGCCTCCCAGCCTGTATTGAGGTAACCTCAATGCTTCACTTCCAGGCTGACTCAACCCAGGCTTCTAGCAAGCCTCTGACTGACAGGACAAAAATCCTATCTAAACTGGAGGAATTTATGTATTCTGTTCTCAAAGAGGATTGACTTTTAAATTTGGAAGACTTCTATAACAAAATAAAAATG